TCGACAGTTGGAATTTTTGATGAGATGTAAAGCTTTATATCGTCTTCGGTAGTGTCTCTCGAAAATCTAGAAACAAAGATTGACTTGTTTGGCGGAACCACAACTAGTTTCCTCGTATCAGACTGGACTACCGGTGGAGGGGGTTGAGTTTCTGCGTTAGTAGTTGAGGATAGAGAAGGCGGTGGAGGCTTTGAAGACGACGCCACCACTTCAATGGGTGAAGGGGAAGATACTTCAGGCTCTTTATTATCCGAAGCAGATTTCGTTACACGGTCTTTTGAGGCTGAGGATTCTGATGCTGGAGGACACGGAGAGGATAAATTAATTAAGTCCGTCGGAAGATTATTCTGACGTGCAACGGCAGTAATTTCCTTAGATGGACTATGAAGAGGCTTACGTTTAGACACACGGATATCCTTAACAGATTGCAAGGTATCTAAGCATTTGAATGATTTAAACATATTTTCATAATGCTTAAATTTTTCTGTCAGTACCGACAATTCCCTTCCTATTTCTGTAAAACCATTTCTGGTTTGCCTAAATAGCTTGAAAAGATCAACTTCGGTTGACCTGCACTTTACGCATGCCCAGAGAAAGCCCTTGCCATCATTAATAGCGTCCAGAATTCTTCCCGTCAAACCAGCACATTTCAGATGGTATATACCATCACACAGCCAGCACGATAAGTAGCGTTCAGAATCGCTTTTAATTTGGCAAGTATCAAGATCACACTTCATATTGAAAGATTTATGTAATACACTCGTTAATAAATGACAAACAAAATAAATTATAACAATTAAGGAGCTGATGTAAATAGCTTTAAATAAATGTAGCGAATAGTTTGAGTATCACTGTAATTATGACACTTAATAAACGCAACGCAAACAGCTGTGACAAGAATTACTAGAAGAAGTTAACAAAAAGAGTAGAACAAATGTGCAAAAACAAAATGAAAGTTAACTACAAAGGATACAACACAATGATAGCAACAAATGACTCGGCAAAATTAGAATGTATGCTAGTGAAATTTAATTAAATTTACTTTAATATAAAACAAATAAATTTCACTTAGCTTCAAATATTTCACACTCTGATGCTCATAAGCACTTTTTATCACTACTTTAACACAGAATTAGCACAATGAACTTAGTAAGTAGAAAGCCAAAATCAGAGCACAATAAAGTACAACCTCACAGCTTGACGTTTGCTTACAATACTACTATGGAGGATATCGTAGCAGAAATCTTAGAAAATTCTGTGAACACTTGTCATTGGCGATTTTAACATAAACATGAACGTAGTATCAACCTACAGCAGAAAACTTCATGATGTTTTCTTGCAACAAGCCATGCAACAGCTGATAAATTTTAATACGAGGGTGACGGAACATTCGGAAACACGTACCGACTTGTTGTATTCCAATGATAACCGAGTTATATGCCAAAAGGTCGAGGATCATAGAATATCTGACCGCGAAACAATAATGTTTCGACTAAATGTCAATAAACTTAACCCACTTGCTAAGGAAGCAGAAGTAATATCCTGGGAGAGATATAACCCTGAGAACTTAACAAGTTTACTAAGCAGTGCGATTTCTTGATCTTAAATTTTTTCGATGCTGACGGTATGGTGGAGTATATTACTCATTGCATTATGTGGGCCATGAGGCAGTTGACTTACTCAAAAATAACTCGCATTAAGCAGAGGAACAAATGGTATGATAGGCAATTGACAGAGATGAGCAAGTATAAATCTAAATCCCATGAGAAAGCAGTGTTGTCAGGGTACTGGGGTGAATATAATTTAGTGAGAAGCAGGTATAAGAAAATGGTAAGGTGTAAAAAAATTAAATACTTAGAGCATAAGGTGGAAATAAATAAGGGTGACAGCCGACTCATGTGGAAATAATTAAAGGAGGTAGTCAATAACACGGAGGTCAAAGAAAATATTAGAGAAGTGATAATAAATAACACCAACTACGTAGACAGCTTTGAAATTGCGGAAAACCTAAATAATCGTTTCGTGGACAGCATTTTGGAAATACATACCAATATAGAGTGTGTAAACTATGATTTTTTCGAGCAACGAGCTTCCACAAGTACGCTAAAATTTGAAGAGGTCTCAACGGAAGACATTCTTCAAATTGCCAAAAAATTTAAGCGGAAAATTGGGGGAAACAACCTACTTTCTGAAGGTGTTATTAAGGACTCTGCTGATTATATGGGATATTTCTATGCCCTACTTATAAATAAGAGTCTCCAAACAGGATCAGTACCGGAAGAATGGAAAATTTCATCAAATCAAATTTCAATAGTGCCCGTCAAGAAAGTTAGAAAAACGGTTAAAGCTGAGGAGCTTAGGCCCATCAATATTCTCCCTAGCTTGGAGAAAATGCTAGAAACCGTTGTGAAAAACCAGCTACAGTACTATGTGGAATCCAATAAAATACTCATAA